AGAGGGTCGCTGGAGACGGGTTCAGCTTATCCTTGCAGGCTCTTTGCAAATGCAAGGCTGCGAGAAAGCTTGAATGCCCGCAGACTCTGCCCAAGTGCTTTTTTCCCAGCGCAACTAATCCTAAGCTAGGCTAAACTACGGTCGAAAAAGTGTTGGCAATGCAATGAAACCAGATTCACTCAAGTGACAGTCACATGAGACGGAAATAACACGAACGGCATCTGTTGGTTTGTAGCGGCTGGCGCTGCTGGCAATGCTGCTCTGAATTCGTTCGAGCAAGGAAGCTACTTGCCTCATCGGTCCATGTAGAAGAATGTGGTATATTTACGGTCTGCCCCTCGCAGATTCTACTATCGAGATCGACATTTTGCAGTTAATGTGACGGATAATTCGCATCATTTGATGTCTTCCATGGCACGCCCTGTGGGCTCAGCTTAGCAGAGGAGAGCATTGTCCAATCCCTAGAGAATTTAGAACTGATGTTCATCGTCCAGTGACACACAGAGCCCGCACTGGGTGTCCGGTACGACACAGTTTGATACTCGTCGAATAGTGAGGGTGGGAACCGTGCATCAAAGGAGAGCAGTCCGTGGAGCTTCCGACCCGGTGAAAGGTATGGTCTCTGATGGCCTCAAGGCTTGCGTCACTAAATAGCGAACCCCCAAAAACCGCGTTTCAACATATTCTAAATTGGTGCTCCCGGTTGCCTGTTCGAAGGCACATGCGGAGACGCTTCATACCTGGTCTGTCTATGAGACACTCCCAATCCGGATAGGCAGGAAGTCTCTATTTCAAGCTGCCAACACACCATTTCTATCTTGCTGAAACACGCAATGCCCATTTTAAACCGCCAACAAAGAAATGTCTATTTCAAGTTGTTAGGCTAATACTGCTAGGCGTTTAGCACCAAACTGTTGGTGTATCACATTCTGATTGCGACCAGACCGAGCCTTCCCGATACCAGTGAGTTGTTTGCCGCTCTTCGTGCCAGGATTTACGCTGGGAACTGGTGCAAGTCCTAATGTTCACTTTCCAATGCGTAGAATTGCAATACGCAGAACTGCATATTTAACTTCTTGAGATCTACATATTTGATTTATTTTCCGCTCCCGTCGGCATTCGAGAGGTCGGGGAACGACTTGCCGGAGCGATTTTCTTTCCTGCGCGGCATGAATATCGGGGTTTATTCACGTTTTTCAAGTTCATTTTTGAATTTCTGCTGCATAGAGGCAGGCCGGCCTGCCTACCATGTGCTAGTGGACCACCAGGCCTCGGTTAAGCTGGTTTCCACCCCCCTCATCCCTTGCCATCAGAGCCAAAGGAGCAACTAAATTTTTACTGGACCTCACATTCCAAAATCGAAGCAACAACCCTTTTTCCACGCGTCGATCCCCACCGCGGATAAGTCAAGACGGCATGCCCACTGGAGAGCAGCGGGAGTTGCTTGCAAACAGTTCAGGTTGCAAGACGGACATTCTCGCATTACAGCTTGAGAACTATGTGTTTGAGCGTATGCCTGTGGCGGTGCGCACGTCCTTTGAGTAGTGAGCGTCTCTGAGGTGTTTGGATCTGAGAGGCACACCGCCGCACGCATCCATACAGTGCAGAAAACAAAATTCACCCCCATCGACTGCCAATGGGCACCGCTCACCGCTTCACGATCCTCAAGGAGAGATTATTTTTGCTCTCTTTGATAGGGTGTATAGCTATCTTTGCGGTAACAGCAGCAACAGCGGCGACGGCGGCAACGGCAGCAGTGGTAGCTAGAACGCAAGAAAGGACCAATGCTTCTTCAATACAGAGAAATGCACTATCAATTGGCATGCCTCAGGACGAAAAATTGCTTCTCCATCCATACACTCCGTTGAATCTGGTTGTAAGGCAACCTCTGGAAGATTTCGAGCCCACGGCACTGAGAAGGCGGAAGAGACAGGGGATAAGCTCTCGGTTTTTTGCCTTTACCGCTGGTCTGGTGGCGGTTGTATGTTCAGCAGTAACCTTTGTTGTGTTGCAATGCGCACGCAAAGTTCTATTCCCGAGATTGTTTGGCTCTCTGGGTAGAAGGGCTCTCTCAAATTCCTTTGGGGAGGAGCAGCGGGTGGAGGTCTGCATTCAGGAGGAGGACGGAAGCATTGAGGGGGGGGCAGAGGGAGCGGGTGCAAGAGTGGAGGGAAGGCCTTCAGAGGAAGCGGGAGAAGCAAGGGCTCTGGAGGCGTTAGAAGGGCTGAGATGCACTGTGACGCTTGGAGTGAAAGCGGTGCCATACCTTCCTACTGATAACAAGGCATATCTGCTTGTCTTGTTGTTCACGGTCTGCGCACAGGAGTTGGTTGTGTATGGGGTGTACTCAACTCCCGTAGTAGAGTTGGAGCGGCAGAAGACAATCGATTTGGTTTTGCAGGTGGGGTGGAAGGCTTTGGCACAACTAGATTCTCGTGCCCGTCTCTCTGATTGTCCAAGAAACGCGGGAAAGACGTTAGAACTTGTGGAACAGTTTAGAACCCCCCGACCGAAGTGGAATCCACAGTCTCTGGCTGTGGAGGCAAGCATCTCTCTGTATAGAATAATGCAGTGTAAGGATACTCTAGAACATCTGCAGCGGTGGGTAGAAATATCTACACCTATTCCCGCAGAGGTATACAAACACGCAATTAAAATCATTGGGTATTCGCGGCAGGCGGGCAAAGTACGACTAAGAGCAGACGCCCATGCAAATCCCTGGGTAAACGCCGTGCAAGAAAAACTTGGTTTCTTTGGCATTTTCAGAAACGGTTACAAAGCAAACTACTTTGTCTACCCTCTGGCATACACAAAGGAGATGACAAGACTTCAGTCACGTTACTCCTATCTCTTAGACGAGCTTGCCAAATGCACCGAAGCCGCTCTGCCCAGCCAGAGGCTTGACGAACACCTAAAAGAGCAGCACCAGCAGCAGCAGCAACAGCAGCAGCAGCAACAGCAGCAGCAGCAACAGCAGGGCGTGCAACACCTCCAACATGAAAAGCATCTTCCGAGCGACCAGCTTTCCGAGGACATCGCTGTACCTAGCTCGGCCCTCCAACATCGTGAGCAACACGCTACTCTGAGGGGTGGTGCGGTGGTACTGCCTCCGCAACCTTCCTGGCCTTATCCTGCCCCTTCCCATGGAACCTGGTCGGCACC